GGCGCTCCGCAGGGACCTGCCCCTTCTCTCCCGCGCCGGGCCTTGGAAACCCTTCGGGCCGCCGATGCGCACCGCACGCGGAGAAAGAGGCAGAAAGTAGGCAGTCCACTGGCGCATTGGTACACGGGGATTAACCCACATTTCTGGCGCAGCGGTGGCCAGAGTGGCTCCCCCGACCGTGAAAAGGCTGGGATGACACACACACACATATAGACACACACACGCACATTCGCTCAGCCACACACACGCACAGGCGCCAGAAACCGCGCAGCAGCAGCAACATCAGCAGCAGCAATAACAAACGTGACGTTTGACGCCGCCGTTGCCAGGTTTTCCGGGGAAGCTTCCTCGGATCCAACTGTTGCAATCCCTCGTGAACGGGGTAAACTTCTTCGCAGCGGTTGGCCAGCACGTATGTACACACACACACACATATACACATCCATACACACCGGCTTCTTTTGGTCTCCAAGCCTCCGACAAGAGCACTCTTGTTTCCCCTCTCCCGAGCACTTGTGCCCCTGGGACAAAAGGGTGGTGGTTATGATGATGATGATTACACAAGTGGTAATATACTAGGGGGTCAATTTCATACTTTCACAAAGCATTCCACCTTGTAATGGTACTGAGTACTCAGGGTGTGCGTGTGGGTCTCTTGTAGTGCATCAAAAATAAATGGCTTTTTGCATGAAATATACTCCCCCTCCCCGACAGAACCTCTCCCCCCCCATGCCACATTAAACTAGTGGGCTTTGTTTTGACCTCAAGTGTGCTCATGGCTGTTGATTCTACCAATGGCATCAAGGCTAGTTTGTCTTATAGCCCAATAAAGGTATCAATACTAAAATGGATTTGGAATAGTTTCCCCCTGGTCATCTACTTTTGCTTTCTTGTTTCCTTTTGGCCTCTTTTTGATTTACCCCCCCCTCCTCCCATCAGTTGTGGCAACAGTAAGAAACCAAAGACAAAGCCCATTTGCGAAGTTACTTAGTCTGTCTGATTCATTATGCTAATCCCCCAACACATGAAAGCAAAACAGATGGGGGAAATGACATTTGGAGATAAAATAAAAACAATTAAAAAGCAAAAGTGAGTTGCTCTATTAGATTGATACCAGCCTCTAGGCACCCTCCCTCCAACCTGGGGCTTTCTGGATGTGTTGGGCTGAAGTCCACCTCTTCCCTGTGATCTGGGCGTGATTGGAGTTGTGGTCCAGTTTACCTGAAGTGTTGGGTGGGGAAGGCTGATTGAGGGACATTTTCAGAGAGCTGCAGAGAAATGTTCTGTGCTGGGCAGGACAGCTGTGTCCTGAAAGGGCACCCGGGCAGTTTAGTATCTTATTTTCCACTTGCTTGTCCTTCCCCCCCCCTTCCACTCCTCCTCTCCCGCACCCCTAAACACACTGCTACTCTGGAGTGTAGACTCAGCACCTGCTGCACCTTCCTTCTCCAAGAGCCTGCTCTTTGCTTTGTGATTAACAACCTCCCCCTGTATGAAGACACCCAAAATAGGTTTGAAAATGCATCACCAGTTCTTTCACTAGCAATTATTTGCTATTTATAAACCAGCTGATGGGTGATCATTTTTTACTACCAAGGAAGAAAAAGCAAAGCATAGGGAACTTGTAGGTCACCAAACCTACTGCGTGTGAGTGATATTCTGCAAGAGGTAAGCTTTGGTTGCGGCCAAAACGTCAGCCGTGTCTACTCAACTTTGAGAGCCTTCTTTAATTCAGTTAAGGCCATGGATAGGTGGATTTGAGGGTTCTGTTCTACCCTCTGCCCTTTGACTCTTAAGAGAAGCTTTCTTCTGACCAATGTGTAAATACAACCCCAATCAGGATATTTGTGTGTTTCTGGGCAGACCACAGAGTGAATGGCCCAGAAGCATTAACCAGGTAAAGCAAGTAACCACACAAATCTCTTGCGTTATATTTGTTATTCACATCCTGCGATTATAAGTGAGAAAACAGAAGGAAAGGAAAACACTGAGGTGGTGGCAAGAGATAGTATGTCATTTACTTTAAAACCGATTCCTTCTTGCTGCTTTGTTTTGATTAAATAATTTCAGATCCAGGGAAGAGAAACGGAGGAGGGAGGGAGAGAGAAAGAGAAGGAGAGAGAGGGAGGGAGAGAGAAAGGATGTAAAGTGTAGAAATGCAGGCTTCCTGCATTTTTTAAAAAAGAACCAAAGCCAATCTCACCCATTTCTCTTTTAAAGCCCTTCCTTCATTCCTACTGGCTGCCTTGGAAAAATTACTGTGACATTTTCCTGGCAGCTGGGGTGGGGGGGGAAGAGGAACAATAAACACAATAAAAATAAAGCAGAGCAGCTCCTGTAGACTGCCGCCAATGCTGTTTTGTCCAGTCTGCACCACTCAGCTTATGACCCAACACTGTCGCTTGCATTTGCTGATTTGCAGGAATGGGGTCTTCACAGAGAACTGGAGATTCACAAACGTGATGTCGCCAGATCAGAATGGGGTCAGAATATAACAAAAAGTGGCCACAACACAACAAACTTCAGGGACAGTTCATGTATCCTTTTTCTGAGCATTGAGTGGGTCAGGGGGCCTGTCCCCATCCCTAAAAACTCGGATCATTTCCCCTCTTTTGTGTTGGGGATATCATCTTCTGTAGTGTTTATACACAGGCAGGTGTGTTGAAAGATTTATCTATTCTCTACAGCAAAAGACACAACAGGCTGATGGTGGAATAAGAAGACAGTGGATTTGACTGGCAAGGCTGGGCAGCAATATTTTTTACTGTTAAAGGCTCCCCCATTTCCAAGGCTCACAAAGGCTTCCCTAGACCAGGGAGCCTTGAAACAAGAAATGAAAGGGATAGGAAGCTTTTGATTCATTAAAATAAAATATTTCCAATACCAGAGCTGGTTTACATCAGAGAAGCTTTAATGCAACAGGATTTTGCCCATTGTTTCTCTTAATCTCTCATTGCCCCTGCCTTTAGAATTTAAGTCATAATGGAACTTGTCTTTTTGGACAGTGTGATTGATAGGATGTAAGATATGAAAAGTCCATAACCATTTGACTTAGAATCAAAGAATCATAGAATAGTGAAGTTGGATGGGGCCTGTAAGACCATCAAGTCCAACCCCTTTGCTCAATACAGGAATACAAATAAAAGGATATCTGACACTCACCACCTCTCATGGTAATGGATTCCATTGGCGTACTGCTCTAACAGTTAGGATGTTTTTCCTGATATTCAGCTGAAATCTGGCTTCCTGAAACTTGAGCCCATTGTTGCGTGTTGCCTGCACTCTGTGATGATCGTGAAGAGATCCTGCCCCTCCTCTGCATGATTACCTTTCAAATATTTGAAAAGTGCTATCATATCACCCATCAGTCTTCTTTTCCCAACACTAAATATCCCCAGTTCTTCCAGTCCTTCCTCCTAGGGCTTGGTTTCCAGCCCCCTGATCATCCTTGTTGCCCTCCTCTGAACTTGTTCCAATTTGTTAGCATCCTCCTTGAAGGGTGGTGTCCAGAACTGGACACAATACTCAAGCTGAGGCCTAACTGGTGCTGAATAAAGGGGGACTAGCACCTCGTGGGATTTGGAAACTATACTTCTATTAATGGAGCCTAAAATAGCATTTGCCTTTTTTGTAGCCACATCACACTGTTGGCTCATATTCAGCTTGTGATCGATGACAGCTCCAAGATCCTTCTCACTTGTAGTATTGCTGAGCCAGCTATCCCCCATCTTGTAACTGTGCAGTTGGGTTTTTCTCCCCAGGTGCAGTACTTTGCACTTATCCCTGTTGAATTTCATTCTGTTGTTTTCAGCCCAGTGCCTATCCAGATCATTTTGAATTTTGTTTCTGTCTTCCAGGGTATTAGCTGTTCCACCCAATTTTGTGTCATCCACAGATTTGACAAGCATTCCTTGCACTCTGTCATCCAAGTCATTAATAAAAATGTTGAAGAGCCCTGGACACAGGACTGAGCCTTGGGGTACCCCACTTGTGACCTCCTCCTAGTTGGAGAAGGACCCATTAATCATCACCCTCTGAGTATGATTCTGTTGCCAATTTTGTATCCACTTGACACTTGATCTATCCAGCCCCCACTTAGTTAGCCTGCTAATCAGGATATCATATATTGCTTTGTCAAAAGCTTTCCTGAAGTCAAGATATACTATTTCTACAGCATTCCCTCTGTCTATCAGGGAGGTTACCTGGTCAAAAAAAGAAGGTCAGATTAGTCTGGCAGGTTTTGTTCTTGATAAATCTGTGTTGGCTTCTGTTTATTACTGCATTGTTTTCTAGGCACTTGCATAATGCCTGTTTTATGATTTGTTCTAGAATTTTCCCTGGGATGGAGGTCAGGCTGACTAACCTGTAGTTATCAGGTTCCTCTTTTCTGCCCTTTTTGAAGATAGGGACAACATTAGCTCCCCTCCAAACATCTGGCACCTCAATTTCAAGAAAATAATGGACAGTGGTTCTGAGAGTTCTGCGGCCAATTCCTTCAGTATGCTTGGATGCTGTTCATCTGGTCCTGGAGATTTGAACTCTTACAATTCTGCATAATTCCTTCAGTATGCTCGGATGCTGTTCATCTGGCCCTGGAGATTTGAACTCTTACAATTCTGCAGTAGAGAACACTAAAAGAACAATAGGCTTAAAACAATATTCTAAGGTACAGATATCTGCCACATCTTGCTTAACATTTACTTTTTCCATTAATTCCACGTTTAACACTTTGCTAGTCTTCAGTCATAACCTCAGAATAGTTTCTTGGTACATAGCTATATTTGTCCATATTAGAAATCAACAATGATGCTTAGAAATAAACTGAAATAGCCAAGTAAGTTAGTTTTCTGAGTGATAGGAGGGCAGCTCACTGAGATTTCATTTAAACTTAAACTGTGCCTTAACTG